TTTAAGATTTTATTTATTTATTTGACAGTCAGAGATCACAAGTAGGCAGAGAGGCAGGCAGAGAGAGAGAGGAAGCAGGCTCCCCACAGAGCAAAGCGCCTGATGCAGGGCTCGATCCCAGGACCCTGGGATCATGACCTGAGCAGAAGGCAGAGGCTTTAATCCACTGAGCCACCCAGGTGCCCCATCTCTTTTCGATATTTTTAAGTAACTCACTAAGGGCCCAGTTTCTAAAACTTCCATCTATCCTCTGCCAGTCATTATCTATTAAGTTGCTACTTATGTCATACCCCACCCTAAATATTCCCAATACAAAGTTGTACAAAACACACATTCTGCCCTCAGTAGGTAGAGAAAACAGACAAAGATTACAAAGTAATATATAGCAGGATGTAAACAGAGTACACACCAAATATTCAAGAAAAGGACTCTCAAGATGCCTTATTTGGGGTGCCTGGCTGGCTTAGTCAGTAGAGCATGTGACTCTTGACCTCAGGGTTGTGGGTTTGAGCCCCACGTTAAGTGTATTTAAAAAATAAGTGTATTTAAAAAATAAATAACAAAGGGCACCTGGGTGGCTCAGTTGCTGGTTAAGCAACTGCCTCAGGTCAGGTCATGATCCCAGGGTCCTGGGATCAAGAACTGCATCCAGCTTCCATCTCAGCAGGGAGCCTGCTTCTCCCTCTCCCACTCTCCTGCTTGTGTTCCCTCTCTCCCTCTGTGTCAAATAAATAAATAAAATCTTTAAATAAATAAATAAATACTTCTTTTTTTCAAAGATGCTTTACATTCTTTGGTTTTCCCTAATAGAAAAAGGTTAAGAAATATCCTAATAGGGATTCACTCTTCTTTTATTACTTATTTAAAGTAATAAGACAGAGATCACAAGTATGGGGCTGGGGGAGAGGGGAAGAGAGCAGGCTCCCTGCCAAGCAGAGAGCCGAAGTGGCGCTGGATCCCAGGACCCTGAGATCATGACCTAAGCAGAAGGCAGAGGCTTAACCTAATCCACTAAGCCACCCAGGCGTCCCACCTAATAGAGATTCAACACCGCAAATATAATCATAACACAAAATACAAAGCAATAGCTTAACCACTATTCTATCATTGTCTACCAAGCATAATGAGAAACAACAAAAAAGTAGAATTTTTACTATTTTAATTTGTGATGTATACAACTATAATACATCAGTTTGGAAATAAACAGTCATGAATGATAGGGACTGGGTGACAGAAAAGCAAATTAAGAATTTAAAATATGGCCACTGGTAGTCTTAGAGCTTTTCATGCAGTAAGAACCATGCGTCAACATTCACAGATGTGTAAGAAACAGTTTAGAAAGTTACTATAAGTAATCAGTTATATTACTAGAGCCAAAAATTGTAGAATTAGTAGGAAAAAACAGGGCAATGTTTGCTACAGATACAGTCTGGAAAACAATCAGGAAAAACAAAGACATATATATGAAAAAAGGAATCAAAAATAAATTTTATGGAACATCTTAGCAATCATAAATATAGTAATATTTGAAAATAAAGCAAATCTGTGTTGTTCCCACTGGGCAAGAACAGGATTGTTTGGAACACAGGGATAGTAGGTGTGAAGAAAACTGCACCTACTAAATTAATGTATAATATAATCATGCCTCTCATAGTCTTCTTCATTAAGTCTAATTACACACAGATGAAAACAAAGTTCAAAGTTTAGAAATGATTTCAACTCCCATATCTACAGCTCTAGTTGATTTTAGAACATGCCATGACACACACAAATAAAAGAAGGGGGAGAAAACATTGCAGTATTTAGGAGTGACATTTAAATAAGTAAAAGACAATCACAGATTTGAACTACAGTTATAATTCTGAAATGTTTAAAAGATAATGGTGTTATACTACATTATCTCTAAGGTTCTTTGCAACAGTAAACGTCTCATAATTCTATGAATTTCAAATGAAGAGTTACTGAGAAGTCATATTATCCCTTAGCAGGTAATCTTACAGCACCATCTTCTGGTATATTACTGTGCATAGGCTAACAATCAGAATAGGAGGAATTCATGGTATTATGCCAGTTTTATTTAGTACAACTTTACAGGAATGGAAATTTTAAAACTCAAGCTATATTAACAAATTGGGTAGTTGAAGAAATGTGAATCAAGAGCACAGGTTACACTAGCCTCATTAAAGCACTCAAAATTGAAAAGCACACAAAACTGAAATGAAATCAAGATTTCAAAAAGTTTCATAAAATGAGAAGGCTAAAACAACAACAAAAAAACTAGGCTTACTAGATCTACAGAAAATAAGAATGATGGGTACAAACAGTCCTAACACTGAAACGTCAAGGTGGGGGCAAGGCTACGAGCAGTTGTTTTGCCTACACCAAAGATGAATCAAGGAAACAACTCTAAATGAGGCCAAGATTTAAATAAGATACACAAGAGAAGTAATAAATAACAGTGTGAAGTCTGGGCTACCAGAAGCCATAAGAAAAATATCTGATAAATATATATGCATATGTACACATACACATATTTTCTCATATCATCAAAGATATAATACTCCTTAATGTTTAATATAGCCCCAACCAGATGTAAAGGGATAAACAGCAAGTCTATATAGGTATCTCAGAAGCCACTGTATTTAGCTAACATTTAAGCGCTTACCACATGCCATGCTCTGCACTAAGCATTTTATTTTCATTTCTCATTTTAATTCCAATGTAATAATCATACGTTATATTAGTTTCAAGTATTCAATATAGTGATTCAACAATTCTTACATTAGTCAGTGCTCATCCTAAGTGTAGTCTTTAAAACCCATCACCTATTCCATGCATTTCTGCACCCACAAACCCTCTGGTAACCATCAGTTTGTTCTCTATAGTCAAGAGTCTGTTTCTTCATTTGTCTATTTGTTCACTTGTTTCCTTAAATTCCATACAAGAATGAAATCATACAGTATTTGTCTTTCTCTGACTTATTTCACTTAGCATTCATCTGGCTTCACCCATGTTATTGAAAATGGCAAGATTTCATTCCTTTTTATGGTTGAGTAATAGTCTACCACATATATGTGTATATATAGGTATATATGTGGTATATTACCACATCTTCTTTATCCATTCATTTATCAGTGGATACTTGGGTTGCTTGCTTCCATAATTTTATGGTTCTTATAAATAATGCTGCGATAAACATAGGGGTTCACGTGTCTTTCTGAATTAGTGTTTTTCTATTTTTTGGGAAAATACCCAATAGTGAAGTTACTGTATCACACTGTAATTCTATTTTTAATTTTTTTGAGGCATCTCATACTGTTTTCCATAGTGGCTGCACCAGTTTGCATTCCCACCAACACTGGACAAGGGTCCCTTTTTCTCCAAATCCTCACCAATACTTGTTTCTTGATGTTTTTGATTTTAGCCATTCTGACAGGTATGAAGTCATATTTTTATAGTTTTGATTTACATTTCTCTGATAATGAGTGATGTTGAACATCTTTTCCTGTGTCTGTTTGCCATCTGGATGTCTTCTTTGGAATACTATCTGTTCATGTCTTCTGCCCATTTTTTGTTTCAATTATTTGCTTTTTGGGTGTTGTAAGCTCTTTATATATTTTGGATACTAACTATTATATATGTCATTTGCAAATATCTTCTCACATTCAGTAGGCTGTCTTTTAGTTTTGATGATTTTCCTTTGCCGTGTAGAAGGTTTTATTTTGATGTAGTCCCAAAAGTTTATTTTTGCTTTTGTCCTCGTTGCCTCAAGAGACTTATCTAGAAAAATGTTGCTACAGCTGATGTCAAAAACTACTACCTGTTCTCTCTTCTACGACTGTTATGTTTTCAGGCCTCCCATTTAGATCTTTAATCTATTTTGAGATTATTTTTATCGCTTCTTGGCCTTTTGACTAAGATCAAGTGTATTTTGAGATTTTTTGGGTGTATAGTGTGAGAAAGTGGTCCAGCTTTCCCAGCACCATCTGTTGAAGAGATGTGCTAAGTATTTTAAAAGGATCTCCTTTAAACTGATAACCTACCCAAGTCCATTTATCATCTATTTTTCAGTTGACAGAACTGACATTTAAAGTTAACTGGCTATTGGTTAAATAAATGAACAGGTGACAAGGTTAAACATAAAGACAGTTTGACTCCAGTGCCCACAAACTACAAGGACATAAAACTCATCAACATAAAATTGGTAAGCCATACAACATACTCCTGTGTTCAGAAAGCACAGAGAATCTAGATAGCCTGATTCTTCCACTGGCCCCACAATTTGAGAGATAAAAAATATGCAAGAATTTTTTTTTTAAAGATTTTATTTATTTGAGAGAGGGAGAAAAGGAGAGAGCACACAGCAGGAGAGAGGGGCAGAGAGAAAGGGAGAAGCAGGCTTCCCTCTGAGCAGGGAGCCCAACACAGGGCTGGATCCCAAGACTCTGAGAGTGTGACCTAAGCTGAAGGCAGACACTTAACCAACTGGGCCACCCAGGTGCCTCAAGAATTTTTTTTTTTTAAATAGCCCCAAACAGTTCCCATTTACAATGTGTTAGTCACTGTTCTAATTCAATCGTTATAAAAGTTCTATAATGTAAGTGATGTTATCTACCTTCCTCATCTCACAGATGAGAAAACTAAACACCAGAGATGTTCAAAACTTACTCAAAGTCCTAGAGTCTTAAACCTGGCCAACAGGATCCAGAGTCTTAAGCTCTTCACAACTATGTTTCACCCAAGATGTTCTACAGTTGTACAACTACAAAATGACAACTATGACCTAGAGTATCAATCTAGAAAGATGACATTCGCTACTTAATACATTGTTATTTTACTTCATTATCAGGACATCTGGCTTGATCTGCCATAATGCTCCAATAAACAGAATACTAAAAACATACTTTTTTCCAATTATTCTAACTAAGTGGGAAATTCTGAGTAGTTTCATTGAGTTCTGAATAAAATGAAACTAAATTGGAAACCAAACAATTTGTGGAAGGAAAGTAGAGAACTGTTAATCAGCTACCTATATCAGTGACTTACCTTGAAATATTTTCTTCTCATTCTAGTCATGTTCATCAACATAACCCCAGAGTTTACTCCAGTTTTTCCATAATACGGATGTCTGGCAAAGCGATTATACCATCCTATCCGAGGCTCTTCATGTTCTGGCGCCATTGCAGCAATTTGTGTAGAATTAAATTTCTTTAGTAAAGACCAAATATCATCAACAGGCCGTAAAAAAAGGATATCAGTGTCGACGTACAGTAGTGAGTCAACTTCTTTCAGGATTAACTATTAGAAGAGATATTTGAAACATTAATCATAATTCTATTTATTTAATATAAAACACAAGAGGCTTTAATTATAAAATAAATACCTACGAGATAAGCTAATTTACATTAATTTTTTAAAGTAATCTTTCCTAAATCTGTCATTTTTTATAACAGTATATATAGAGATATAATGCTAATCTTTATATGAACTTTCAGAGAACAAAAGCTATAAAAACAAATCAGGACAAAAAGCTAAATAATAACAATTAGAAAAATAAATAAAATAAAAGCAATATTCTCAAAGATCAGGGATAGAGTGTTTCTTATAATGGGAAATAACATTAACTTAGCTGAATTTATATCCTGAATCTTAATTTCCTAAAATAAATACAGAAATAAACCAATATAAATGAAGATCTTCTGAATTTGTTCCCTTGGCCCATACATTAATGGCTGGCATCTTTGTGTCATTTGGTCTTAACTAGTAAATGATAGAGCCAAAATTGGAATACAGACCACCCAGCTCGGGAATCCATGCTGTTTTATTTTCTTATTTACTGTCTCCCAACAAATCAAAGTAAATGTGCATATACTTAGGAAGGGTGAGGACAAGATGTGTTTTAAAATAAGGACTGGCTACATTACTATCTTCTGACACATGCTAAATGTGTCTTCTACAGGGATTTTTAAGGAAAACTTTTTATTTCTGCCATACCCACAAAATTTAGAATCCAACCCCTGCAAATTTAAATTTACTGCATGTATCAGCATATCAGTAGAACTCAATTATTAGATTAAGCTAAATCTTTTCAGTTTAAGAATATAAAGAGAAGCATTTGCTCCTTGTTCTCCTTTTCAAAATTGTTCCCTCCTCCTTCTGCTAAGGTTAAGCCACCACCTTAATGAGCAACTATAAATCTACAATCACCCCATTCCCCCATCAGCTGATTTAATATCAAACTGGGGGGAAAATGTGGTTTGACTGCAGAGCCTGAGTAGAGAAGATTCACTTGTTCAAAGACCCCAGTGAAAGGGTACGTATGTATATGTCTGTATGTCTTTCTCTCTTTTGGGGGCAGAAGAGTAAGGAGAATTGTTTTTTTAATCAACATGCTGTTTCTGTACCACGAAACAATGTGTGTTTACAGGTTACTATATTGTTAGCAGACTTGGAAAACACTGTTAACTGTTAGGAACTACTGCCAACTGGAGATCAGACAGAAGGTCAGACATTAAGTAACAGCCATATCAGCATTTTTTCTATGGTCCCTTCTGGAGGAAGAAGGAGTTGGTAGAGCTTACATTAGTTGTTTTCATCAATCTATTTCAAAGAAGAGAAACTCAGTAAAAAAAAAAAAAAAAAGAAACTATCACTTAGAAAAAGAAAGCACCAATTTACTCAGATCTAGTTAAAAAGATGCAGAACTAGCAGGGAAATAGAGGACAATTTGACAGGTTTCAAGTATTTTTGTTTAGTGTTTCAAATTTGATTTAGGCATTTAACAGATTATATCACTAAATGATCTGGAAAATTTCATATCACAACATCAACAATTAAACTTGTTAATAATGCAGAACAAAATCAAAGAGAAATGGTTGTAACCTTAGGCTTCTGTCACCATGTATTATTTTTTCAGTAATACATTTGTTTATTGAACATTATATTGTATTTGTTTAATCCCTGCCTCCCACATCAGACAATAAGCTCTATGAAAACAAGAAACCCATCTGTTCCATTCATTCCTATATACCAGAACTTCAGTAGAGATTCTTGGCAGAAAATAAGGCAATTTATTAAATGTGATACTACAGTGATTCAACATAAAAATTTTGTTTTACAGCAACCTCTTCGACCTCAGGCACAGCAACTTCCTCCTAGAAACATCGCCAAAGGCAAGGGAAGCAAGGGCAAAAATGAACTACTGGGACTTCATCAAGATCAAAAGATTTTGCACAGCAAACAATCGACAAAACCAAAAGACAACTGACAGAATGGGAGAAGATATTTACAAATAACATATCAGATAAAGTGCTAGTATCCAAAATTTATAAAGAACTTATCAAATTCAACACCCACAGAACAAATAATCCAATCAAGAAATGTGCAGAAGACATAAACAGACATTTCTGCAAAGAGGACATCCAGATGGCCAACAGACACATGAAAAAGTGCTCAACATCACTCAGCATCAGGGAATACAAACCAAAACCACAAGGAGATACCACCTCACAGACCAGCTATCAAGCTAAAAAGAATGGCTAAAATTAACAAGTCAGGAAATGACAGATACTGGTGAGGATGCGGAGAAAGGGAAACCCTCCTACACTGTTGGTGGGAATGCAAGCTGGTGCAACCATTCTGGAAAACAGATGGAGGTTCCTCAGAAAGTTTAAAATAGAGCTACCCTACGATCCAGCAATCACACTACTGGTTATTTATCCTAAAGATACAAATGTAGTGATCTGAAGGGGCACGTGCACCGGAATGTTTATAGCAGCAATGTCCACAATAGCCAAACTATGGAAAGAACCTAGATGTCCATCAACAGATGAATGGATAAAGAAGATGTGGTATATATATACAATGGAATACTACGCAGCCATCAAAAGAGAGGAAATCTTGCATTTGCAGGGACATGGATGGACCTAGAGAGTATTATGCTGAGCAAAATAAGTCAGTCAGAAAAAGATAATTATCATATGGTCTCTCTGATATGAGAAATTTGAGAGGCAGGGCGGGGGGTTGGTGGGGGCTAGGGAAGGAAAAAATGAAACAAGATGGGATTGGGAGGGACACAAACCATAAGAGACTCTTAATCTCTGGAAACAAACTGAGGATTGCTGGGGGGTAGGGACAGTGCTGGGTTATGGACATTGGGGAGGGTATGTGCTATTAAGTGCTGTGAAATGTGTAAGCCTGATGATTTACAGACCTGTACCCCTGGGGCAAATAATACATTATATGTTAATTTAAAAAAATAATAAAATAAAATAAGGAAATCAAGACTCAGAAACAGAAAGTCTGTAGAAAGTCTGAACAAATTCTAAAGCTCGAATTCCAGCATGAACTTTGGAATCCCAAGTTATAGTTTCTTAGAGTTTGCAGTAAACTTGGATATTTTTGGTCCAATCTTTTCATTTTATAAACATGGAAACTGAGACTCTGAAAGAGAATACATGATTTGTTTACTGCATTAGAGACTGTCAACCCAAGAAATACCAAACCATCCTCTTTCTCATTTGGCCATACTACTGTTTGGCACATTTATAAATACCAATTACTCATTATTATTTTTGGGGAGAGGCAGTTATTATATACAGCTTTGCTTTTTGACTAGACTGTAAACTATTGAGGGAAGAGCTACATCTTATTACAATATGCACAGCAGCCTCAAATCCCTTCTCAAACTGATGCGAAAATCCCAGGTGTGACACTTATTAGAAATTCAATAAATGGCTGAATAATTTATCTCTGGTGAAAAAAAAATTTTTGTGTGTTTTAAACTTACAAAGTCTACATGAAATATCTAAAACTTTTGGGGCCGTTTTCCCCCCCCCATCCTAATCCCTTATTTGTGTGCCTCTTACAATGGCAACAGAGACTGAGAAAGATCCTAGGATCCAAATAGTTTGTGCATGGAAACAAAGTTACCAGTTAGGCAAACTCAGTGATCAAAATTATAACTTTTTTTTTTTTTTTAAGATTTTATTTATTTGACAGAGAGAGAGAGATCACAAGCAGGCAGAGAGGCAGGCAGAGAGAGAGAAAGGAAGCAGGCTCCCTGCCAAGCTGAGAGCCCAATGCAGGGCTCGATCCCAGGACCCTGAGATCATGACCCGAGCCAAAGGCAGAGGCTTTAACCCACTGAGCCACCCAGGCGCCCCTCAAAATTATAACTTTAAATCTTACTGAAGACCTGGATTCAGTAAATTATATTTTAATATGCTAAGAATTGCTTTGTTCCCTTAAGAATAATAAGGAGCTAAAGTTTCTTCCCCTATAATTTATATACTTTCCACAAACTTGTGAGCTTCTTAAATTCATTATTTCAAATACTATAGATGTAGACGAAATCAACTCAAAATGAAGAGATAACTTTGCTTCTGAATATTTTTAGCTAAAAAATAATAATAATCTGGGGCGCCTGGGTGGCTGAGTTGGTTAAGCATCTGCCTTTGGTTCAGGTCATCATTCCAGGGTCCTAGGATCAAACTCTGCATCAGGCTCCCTGCTCAGTGGGGAGCCTGCTTCTCCCTCTCTCTGCCTGTAGCTCCCCGTGCTTGTGTGCTCTTCGTCAAATAAAGAAAAAGAAAAAAAAAAAAAAAAAAAAGATCAGGGTTTATCACCAGAGAACACTACCAAAGAACAGCTCCACTGAATAAATTGGTCTCATTCCCCTTAGAGTTCACATGCTTTAAATTTGGGTCTGTGTTAAAATATAACCTGTAAAGGGTAACGTGGCTTGGTATAAGACAGAAACAACTATTTAATGTTACAATCTACTTCACTTCCCAAATTACAAATGCAGTGAGCAATGAGAAGGTGATATTGCCCCTGAATTTCTGCTGGCAAGAGGCCTGGCTCCAGTAACATCTGATAACCTCAATTCCTTCTTAGAAGTAAAACAGTTTACAGCACCTGAATAAGTTAAAATGTAAGAAATAGTATTTCCACAGAAATTACTTACATTTTTCATTTTTAACAGATGTTTTCTTTGTAGCTTTTATTTGTTCTATTGAAAGTTTTTTCCCTAATGTTCAAAGGGAAAATCTACATGTATATGTTTATTTAACTCATATATATGCAACTCTTCATTAACTCATGTGTGTAAAAGCAAAATTAGAAAAAGAAAAAAAATCACTAGAGAAAAAACTTACTGGCAAGAATAATCTCTGGGAAGCACATGGCTTGAAAAGCTTTTTCCACTCCACTGCATTCTCACTTGGAAAAGTTATTGGGTATAATGAATAATTAAATGTCTGCAGAAATGACCAGCTATCAAGCTAAAAAAAAAAAAAAAAAAAAACCTTAGTTTAGATTATTTCATTTTCAAGTTTCACCATAAAATTATAAACCAATAGCTTATTTTAAAAAGCTAAAAATTAAAAGACATTAGATGTTATGCTATACACAGTTAAGAGAAAATCAGATTCTTCTTTCCCGCCATTTGTTTTCATTCAAATTTTATATATAGTAATATATAATTAATTATATATAATTAATATATAGTAATACATAATTTAATTAATTTTATAGGACCATATGATTCATATAAATAGTTCAGTATAAATTTAAAATAATTTAATCAATTAATTTAAAATAACTTGATTTAATATAGTAATAGGCTAGGAAGACTCCACCATAAAGATCAGAGGCACGATGAAAGTTAACCACCACAAAATCACAAAGCTGAAAGCCCTGCACATTGTTCATCTACCTCATCTTTACCTGATACATAAATCCTATCAATTCCAGAATAAATTAAACTCAAAAAAATTAAGCACTAATTTTATTACCAGAGTGTGTATACTAGAAAATGTCTACACTTAATATCAGACCAATATTAAACTGGTTAGAAAATATTTGTCTATCTGTGTATTTTTAATGTGGATGGATATTCCCTCAACATACTCTACATTCAGTGGGAAGTCTGCTTGAGCATTCTCTCTCTGCCCCACCCCCATGCAAATAATTAAATAATTTTTAAAAAAATACAGTATATATTACACAAGTAATCACTCAGCCAGATGTGAACAAAACACTGAGGCTGTGTGTAAGATGAAACAATAATTTCATTTTTTTATTACACTGCCAAGTTTCCACAGTTCCACAGCAATCTGTTGTTCTCTGAAGTGTTAAGACAAGAATAATTCCTCAGTTAATATTTTAGAAAACAATCCAAAGAGATCAAGCTCACAAAAGCATCTATCAAAAATACAGACACCAGAGGCACCTGGCTGGCTTAGTCGGTAGAGCATGTGACTCTTGATCTCAGGGTTTAAGTTTGAGTCCCATGTTGGTGTAGAGATTACTTAAAAATAAAATATTTTTTATAAAAACTACAGACACTAGGGGCGCCTGAGTGGCTCAGGGGGTTAAGCCTCTGCCTTCAGCTCAGGTCATGATCCCAGGGTCCTGGGATCGAGCCCCTCATCAGGCTCTCTGCTCAGCAGGGAGCCTGCTTCCCCCTCTCTCTGCCTGCCTCTCTGCCTACTTGTGATCTCTCTCTCTGTTTCAAATAAATAAATAAAATCTTAAAAAAAAAAATACAGACACTAGATATATTTAAGTAAAGCTTAATACCCCTTGGACTCAAAGGTTTTGTTAGGAAACTAAAAGACTTGAGGTCACAAATAGTATTTTTCATTCACTATTTTGAACTACTTTAACTTTAGAAAACATCAAATAAATGTTTTTCTACATATTTAAACCAAACATAAAAACCAAATCAGTTTGAAATTTAATTTAGTGTATACAGAGAGATAAACTGAGATAGTGAGGAGGGGGATAATCACTATTATTATCTTTACTACTGTCTCAGAACACAAGGTGAGATTTTAGATGATTTTTCTTTTTCTTAAATGTTCTTCTCCCATATCTATCTATTCTACTCTTCTTGCACAGTAAAAACATTTTTATTGTTTAGGAGGCTACATGGCTGTCCTGATTAAAGAGAATATTTTTAACCCTCACAAACAGCTGTAACAGTATGGTTACACAACTAAGTTTAGACCAATGGGATACTGGCAAGACTGTCATATGCAACTTCTGGAAAATATTTATAGAGGGTAGAAAGGGATTGGCCTTCTTTACTCCTTTCTCCCTTATTTGGTTAAAATGTGGGTGTGAGAGCTGAAGAGTGAGTAGACCCCTTAGAGCATGAAGGAGAAGTCTTATGTTAAAATGGCTCAGCCATAAGACAGAAGCCAGTGTCCCCGAAGACACAGAGGTACCATATACCACAGACTGCTTACTCTTATGTGAGAGAGAAATAAACTTCTATCTTGTTTAAGCCACTGTTAGTTGGGGTTTTCTGTCAATATAGCCAAACTGAGTGTAACTAATACAAAACCAAAATAATGAACTTTCTTTATCAAAACAAAAAGCCACTTCCTTCCATATTGTCAATCAAGAGCTCCCACCCCTGAAAACAGAATTAAAATCTTTGTGCACACTTTGTTTGAGGCACTCCCAAGGCAATGATGGGAATAAAATTAAGTCCTAGGACTTTCAGTCAAATCATCCTAGATCTACAGTCAATGAAATAAAACCTCCATGCTTGGCAAAGGACTTTAAACAATGTACTTCTTTTTGAAAACAAACCTTCCTCTTATACCTAGATCTGGACTCTTAGATGGAGTGGCAGCCCAACTCTAGGAGGGCAGTTAGGTACTGAGTAAATATTTTTGTTCAATGAAGGAATAAAACAACATTCTATGACAGTATACCATTAAATATTCATCTCTAGAGTCTTAACAAAGTCTCGAATACTTACTATGCCTTTAAAACTATCATGTAGTTGATCTTCAGCAAAAATATGGAACTGAAGAGGTCTGATGCTGAAAATGATAGCTGACTTCAACATGGTTACAGTTTCTTCCAGTCTTTCACCACAGGCAACCACAGCGAGGTGCATTCTCTGAATGGGCTGTACATTCAGACCATACCTAATAGAAAAGAGAACCACATTTTCCAACACTTTTAGTATAGGGTAACATGTTAACAACATGTTTTTGACCATGTTCAAAAACTGAAGTTAAAAATTTATACTTAAAAAGCAAAGAAATATCAAATTACACAACAGTACAATGTTGAACAATTACATATTCCTGCATCCTCAACCAGTCTTTCTCAGCCAATGTTCCTCACTAGGAACCACAAAAAGAACTACTACTTTCTCAATTCTCCCAAGAATAGCACATAAGTAACACCATTCTACACAGGAGAAAAGTTAATTCATTACTCAGACTAGATGCATTAGAGCTTAATTCTCTCAAGGAACCTCCCAAATGACAAAGGGAACATCACCAGCTGAAGGTCTTCTATTCAATTACATTTTAGCTTTCTTATTAAAAAAAAAAACTCAAAAACATATTGAAGTAGAGAGAATAGAATAAATCCCCATGGACCCCTCTCCTAACTGCTATGATCATCCATTCAAAGGTATTCTTATTTCATCTAAAATCCCTCTTCACATCCCCTTCACTAACCAACGTATCATTTTGAAGCAAACCCAGACATAAATTCATCCATAAATATTTCAGTATTATACCCAATCTTCAATCATACTAATTCTAGGAAGAAGTTTCTTTCACATAAATTTTTTCACCGATAAACATTCAGTTCCATTCACCAAGTAAATCAATGAGAGGTAAAAATTTCTGAGGTGGTCTAAAATGTATTTAAACACCAGTATGGCATTTTGGAAGGAAAGATTCCCTAAACCCAAGTTACTGGCGTAGGCTATGTCAGACCCTACTTCTAATACAGAACAGGAGTGCAGAGCACCGGGCTTAAAGTACATAATAAAACTCTTACATCTTAATGGTGAACTAATAATAATCCACTAGCATATAAAGAAAAGAATTATGTGTGACTACGTTGTTAGTAAATAAAATTATTTTTTTAAAGATTTTATTTATTTATTTGGCAGACAGAGATCACAAGTAGGCAGAGAGGCAGGCAGAGAGAGAGGGGGAAGCAGGCTCCCCGCTGAGCAGGGAGCCTGATGCAGGGCTCGATTCTGGGACCCCAAGATCATGACCTGAGCCGAAGGCAGAGGTTTAACCCACTGACCCACCCAAATTTACTCCACAGCAAGACTTTACAACTGGCAACAGGCTGGGATTGCTTAACTGGACTCAAAGCTAAAAGCCCAGAGATTTAAAAAGTAAGCCGCAATAGTCACGTGCTGTTTTGCACAGAAGTCTGTACACACAAAGACAAGTATAATAAAACCTTCTTAAGAAAATAAGTGAAATGTTCTTCAGGGTTAAAAAAAAAAAATCCTCTAAAATCAGTACCAGGTCTGACTCCTCCCAGGCATTTTAGCAAGACTTGTTTTAGTCACACTGCCAGCACTCCTTCCACCAATTTCTTTGGGAGGAGTACTGTCAACTACATTGCATTTGCTTTTGGTTATATGCCCCTTTTTAGCAGAAGTATTATATACAGTACAGACTTTAACACCTAAAATGATAAAACAAACCATACTTTAAAGATGTCACTGCCTTCCACCCTGCCCCTAGACCCCCAAAACAGGAAATGATTGCAACTCAAAAAAATTTAAAGTAATCTTCCACCACTAGAGGAAGGGATTACTAAAACCTTGTAATAAAATAAAGGGAAGCAGCCAACCAAGTAATTTGGTTCCAAAATGATTACTTGTCTGTAAAAATGTGTTATATTTTAACCACAGCATGAATAAGAGACAAGTCCCTATAAAGTTAAAGAAATATCCAAGAGGTCATTTTTTTTTAATTTTTTAAAAGATTTTATTTATTTATTTGAGAGACAGATAGAGTGAGAGAGAGTATATGAGAAGGGAGAACGTCAGAGAGAGAAGCAGACTCCCTGTGGAGCTGGGAGCCCAATGCGGGACTCGATCCCAGGACTCCAGGATCATTACCTGAGCAGAAGGCAGTTGCTTAACCAACTGAGCCACCCAGGCGCCCCCAAAAGGTCATTTTTAAGTCAAACCTATTTTTCTTTTTTTTTCTTTTTGAAGATTTTATTTATTTCTTTGATAGAGAGAGAAATAGTGAGAGAGGAAACAGAAGCATGGGGAGTGGGAGAGGGAGAAGCAGGCTTCCCGCCGAGCAGGGAGCCCGATATAGGGCTTGATCCCAGGATGCTGGGATCATGATCTGAGCCGGAAGCAGAAGCTTAAAGACTGAGCCACCCAGGTACCCCTCAAACCTATTTTTCTACAGATAATACAATTAGAAAAAATTCTACAGATGATTCAAACATAATACCTCAGTGCTTCCATGGCTAAATATGGCATAACCAGAGCATAAATAGGAATTATGACAGTAATGAATGATAACACATAGAAAATGAATCCATAAATCTAAGACACTAAATAAAAGGGTTGGGAGAAGGGAAGACCCCTTCTTTAAAAACAAGTATCAGCCAATAATGTAGAAGGAAAGAGAATTCAAAAAAAATCACTATTTTGCAATCACCACTGTAACCAACAACTTGAACAAAAATAATGAATGCTACAACCACAGAGTACCAAGGTACTACCCCCACACATTACAACGGGGATAAAGGTACTGTTACATGTAGAAGTTAATAGAGTATTTTAGATGATAAATTCTAATACAAACACTGTTAACAGATTTCTAAAACTTAGGAATAGACTTACTTCAAGTAACATTTCTGCTGTGAAGGAATCATGTGTCTTCCTTTTTTTATTTTGAAAGCACAAAAAGCTTTCAGGGTATTATTCTTTTTTTTTTTAATATTTTATTTTTTTATGATAGAGAGAGAGAGATCACAAGTAGGCAGATGTCGGCAGGGAGGAGGAAGCAGAGTTCCCACTGAGCAGAGAGCCAGATGCAGGCCTTGATCCCAAGACCCTGAGATCACAACCCAAGCCAAAGGCAGAGGCTTAACCCACTGAGCCACCCAGGCACCCAGCTTTCAGGGTATTCTTTCAGCCTAGTGTTCTCTCTAGAAAATAAAACAATGTTTAATAGTATTTAAGCCAAGAATTAGCATTATAATAAAACATGCAAAGTCAAACCAAATTAAATTTCTGGTAACAATCACCTCAAATAAAAAGTAACTGCTATGAACCATCCTTAAAAACTTGCAGTTAAGGGGGCGCCTGGGTGGCTCAGTGGGTTAAAGCCTCTGCGTTCAGCTCAGGTCATGATCCCGGGGTCCTAGGATCAAGCCCCGCATCAGGCTCTCTGCTCAGTGGGGAGCCTGCTTCCCCCTCTCTCTCTGCCTGCCTCTCTGCCTACTTGTGATCTCTGTCAAATAAATAAATAAATAAAATATTTTTAAAAAAACAAACAAAAAAAAACCTTGCAGTTTAACAAAATGGAAAACTGTGTTCAGAAACATTAATGGCAATTTCCTTACTGTATAGCTTAAAAAGAAAATTTACCTCTCACTACTAAAAAAAAAGTGTTGAATTATTATACTAGGTTAAAAAAAAAAAAACTACTTAAAGAATTGTACAGGGGTGCCTGGGTGGCTCAGTCGGATAGGCATCTGCTTTTGGCTAGCACTGTGATCCCAGTGTCCTGAGATCAAGTCCTGCTTAAGGCTCTCTGCTCAGTGGAAGCCTGCTTCTCCCTCTCCCTGCTGCTCCCCCTACTTGTACTCTCTCTGTCAAATGAACGAATAAAATCTTTTAAAAACAAAAATAAAGAGTTGTATATAATCATGTTTGTTTGGGTTTTTCAAAGATTTTATTCACTTATTTGACACAGAGAGATAGAGAGAGAGAGAGAGAGAGAACACAAACAGGCAGAGTGAGAGGGAGACGCAGGCTTTCCACAGAGCAGGGAGCCCAATGCGGGGCTCCATCCCAGGACTCTGGGATCACGATCTGAGCTGAAGGCAGATGCCTAATGACTGAGCCTCCCAGGCACCCTTATATAGTCACTTTTGAAGCAAAATACAATACTTGAAAAAATCTTCAGGGTCTTACATATAGCATAAAAAAGAAAATCTAGAAACTTAACATGAAATGATGTACTAATTGTTAAAAAATATTTTTAAATAATCTGTACAAAGATAGCTCTAAAAACTAGCATGGGCCACTCAAAGTAATACACATAACATTAAATTCACCTGTAACCACAGATTCCATTACTTGAAAATCAATTCCCATCATAAAGATTAAATATTTTTAAAACTCCAGCTGCAAAAAAATAAAAATTAGTACATTAAAAGAGAATTTTTAAGTAATAACACTAAAATTAAGAGACTGTTTAGAGGTGCCTGGCTGGTTCAGTAGGTACAGCATACAACTCTTGATCTTGGGGTTGTGAGTTTAAGCCCCATACTGGACATAGAGCTTACTTTAAAAAAAAAAAAAAAGAGAGAGAGAGAGATTGCTTAATGAAATAACTAAAACAAAAAAGGAAACTAGAATGATATTTATACTCAATGGCAAAAACAGATTATCCTAAGAGATCATAAAATAAGCATTAAAAACTTAAGAGGTAATTATCAATACAGAAAATATAAAGAACATAAGATTAAGAAGCTCAACAAATATGGAAATACATTCAGTAAATACTCAACAAAATATAAATCAGTAATACTCTATCATTTTACTCTAATAAATGCTGAAATTGTAATTCCCAACAATGCTAAGGTCATGGTGACACCTGTACATTTACACAATGTTGATGCAGACTTAAATCCATATAGTTTTTAGAACACAATTTAATAATATAATTCATCCTCTTTAATGAGTATTTGAACTTCTTCCATATGCTAGACACTGGGGATAAGCAAGAAAGCCACAATCCTGACCTCATACAATTTACAGCCACTTGCAAAAAGACAGAATTTTAAAAGATTTCGTGGGAAAGCATGGTAACTGCCTAAAGAGGGGGGAAAAAAAAAAAAGACTTATGGAAGCTCACTATGCAAACATCAAAACTAGCAGTCTGGAAGTGCTGGGGAAACTCATTAATTATTTACCAGTTGTCATGCACCTTGTTCCGCGTGGGGCTTAGACGATGAACAACACGGGGTATCTATCTGCAAAGCCAACAGTCTGGAAGATGCACAACCACAACAGATGCATTAAGTATAGTGATAAAGAGGATACTGAGAAGGGGGAAGCAGTGGGTAGGGAAGGGAAATCGTTGGATAGGAAGGAATAAGCACAATAACTAAGGGAATAGGAAGCAAGAGGCTATCAGGAACAACAGTGTGAAAGGAGCTGGGTATAAGAGTCACTGTGGACTGACATGAACAAAGTCAGCCATGAGCCAGGATACAAAATATAGATGAGGGAAGGTGTGAGAAACCAGATCATGAACTCCGGTGTAAACGAGAGTCTGAGGCATCTGAATCAGCAAGATAAAAAATGACCAAAATGCAGCTAGAAACTCAGTTCTGGAGCTCAGAAAACAGCTCTGAAGTAAAGGTATCAGTTAAAAAGATCCTGAGGGCGCCTGGGTGGTTCAGTCAGTCAAGAGGCTGCCTTAGGCTCAGATCATGATCCCAGTGTCCTGGGATTAAGTCCTGTGTCAGGCTCACTACTGAGCAGGAAGCCAGCTTCTCCCTCTCTCTCTATCAATCCCCCTACTTGAGCCCATTCTCTTCCTCTCTCAAATAAGTAAGTAAAATCTTTAAAAATTAATTAATTAAAATTAAAAGATTATTCTGTGACTATCCAGGGAGTGGGGAGAGAAAAGGGCAGAGTCCTAAGGCACATGAATATCGAACAGTCAGGACAGGGAGAGGAGTAGAGGAGCAGAGAGATCAAGTAGCTGAGATCCTTGTCTTAGAGCCAGAGACTGAAAGAGTTGAAACAAAGAGGAAGTGGTAACCAGTGTCAAAGGGACCAAAAAAAAAAAACTGGGCCCCAGAAGAACAATTCAGAGGTCAGAGGTGACTTCACAGTAGGGGAGGAGGGTTAGTTAGATAGCCAGTGCTGCTCAGGCATGTTGAGGAGGGAAAGTGTTTTGTTGTTGTTTAAGTGCATGAAGTCAGTAGATACTCTTACAAGTCTTGCTGATGAAGAGAAACAGAGTGAACAAAGAATTCTTGAAAGTAAAAAAGGGTTGAGTGCAGGATGTTGTAGAAATTTTGTGTTTGGTTTTGTTTCAAGAACAGAAAAGACAGGAGAGGTGTGAGCGTCCTGACAAGCTGCTGGGACAAATTCGGTTGGTCAGGAAATGACTTAGTATATACAGATTTGAATTACTAAAAGCACATCAAAAGCAGTTTTTCTTTTTTATGTGATTTTATGTTCACTGTATAAATTAATTGGGAGAAATAATCCCCTAGATAAGTTTTGATCAAAATAAAAGTCACACACTATAAAGAATTCCAATTGGGGAAGCTGGGACAGGCCTGGGAGGAAAACGGCGCCAGCTAAGGGCCCACTGGTGCCTGGCAAAACGCGGACCTAAGGTCTGTAGTAACTGGGAATTTCAAAGAAGCTTTACGAGGTGGGCAGACAAGCTCTTAGAGTTAGGAAAACTAAGGTGCTACTCAGAGTTAACACTGCAATATAGGGTGAGAATGATACGGCAATTGTATGGCATCTTGGCTCGTCTCCCATGTTCAAACAGAGTAAATAAGAAGGATCCTAAATTCTAAGTAAGAAACTAAGTTTGAGAGATTTTACATAATGATTTGATACATACAACAAAATGGTTATAGATATATACTGTGGATTTAATATTACAAGTAGAGAGTGTAACAGAAAAGTGTAACTTAAAATCTCAAATTCAGAAAAGTAATAGGACAAGAGTTTACAACATTATGTATCCATCCACATGTAATTCCTTCCAAGGAATACTTGGAAGCATTAGGAAAATAATGAGTTGGAGAAGACAAAACAAGAAAAATAATAAGCAGAGCCTCCAATATTCAGACTAGATCAACTTCTCTCCAGTACTCTTGCACTCAGTGGAGGGGGAGGGAAGATTACTGCCCATGTTATAACCTACAAAAGGACCTAGGTTGTACAAATGAGGGTATAGTTTTCAAGCTTACCCAGCTTTCAGAGTGATTAGATTTATGCCACAAAGCTGGAGACAGCAAAGGGGTTGCTGTCAATACTCTAGTCATTAGCAAACTTTTATAACAATGAAAAGCTAGATATATAGAGCACAATATAGAGCGCCAATTCTCCAAATTTATGAACAAGCTGAAGGATAAATATTATCTTTAAAAAGTTAGTTTTGAATAATCTGATTTAACTAATTCATATTAGAATTTCAATCACCCAATCTTTTCCATAGCAATGAGATATAATTAAAATAATGGATTTCAATGACTCCTTCCTAGTTGTTCATGGTATGTATAATGTATCAGGAATACAAGAATATAAAAGTATATACTACTAATATGTATAAAGAACATAGTTCTTCCCACCTAAAATACTTTATCACCTGGCCGTGAGCCTGACTAATTTCCATGTTCCTCATGCAGTCACTCCCACCAGGAAGCCTTCCCTGACGCCTTAAGATGATCCTACCTGATGACTCACTTGTTTTTCCCCTCATCACAGCTATAACTTGTCACCCTCTATCTTTATCTCAGGGTTACTAGTGTGAAACTCCTACAGAATGCAAGCTCCAGAAAGATAGAGACACATTAACAATACTCAGAGTCTGGTCTAAGAACCTGGCACAGTTTCTAGAAAATAGAATGAGTAGAATTAAAATTTAAATTAATGATAAAGACAGTAAAAATAAGTGGCTCTCAAAGAAATTTTACTGTTAGGGAGGGCATTTCAGGCTATTGCCTAAGTATCCCTTGCCACTATGTCAAGGAGACAGTCTGATTGCCCTTTCCTATCATCACTTCTTCCATTGAAAGTGAGAGCAGAATCCAAGGCCTTCATTATCCAGAGCCATGTACAAAGCCAATTACTGAGTGACATACAAGCTCAATTAAGAATGTCATATCAACATTTGTCCCTTCATTAAACACTTATTTTTATCCTCATTCCTCAATATTCAATTTCTCTGACAATAACATAATCTTTCCTCAATTATCCCCAACCACCTACAAAATGTTTTTTCAGCAGCTTTAAAGTAGATAAATGCCATATATATGTTTGTAAATGTCAAGGGAAATCTATCTTTATCACCTGTTTAATAGTTTATTACCCAGTTACCTAAAATTATATCATAAATGCTAAAATAACAGTTTACCTTAATAACACCTAAAAACAAATTAGAGCATTTTATACACAATATATACTAAAAATTAGTAATAACAACTATAATGCAGGATAAATAGAAAACCCAATCAGAAAATGAATTACTTGCTTATAATACTAAATTACAGGATAACATTTTTATGTCCTATTACAGTCAAAAACTTACTATGTACTATCTAATCTTACCTACACTGATCTACCAATTAAATTTAGGTGCCTACCTAAAAGCCGCTTCCCAAAAGCAGTTCATTCCACAAACATCAGAGGGCAGCATCCAATAGGGATTCCAGTAACACAGAGAGAAATCTTTACACCTAACAAGAGTAAGACAGAAATAAAGAGTCCTATGTAAGTATTTCAGTTTTAAAACTAACAAGGAATTTACTTAATAACATAACAACTTACTGTTCAATTTTACAGTAAAAAAACTGCAAATCGAATTTTGTAAATTCAATATGGCTAAGGTAACTTGAGGAGTTTTGGAAATTTCTCCCTTATTCAAGGTATCATTATTTTAACAAGATTTAAAACTGTTAGGTAGAGGGTAGCTGGGTTATGGACACTGGGGAAGGTATGTGGTATGGTGAGTACTGTGAATTGTGTAAGACTGATGATTCACAGGGCGCTTGGGTGGCTCAGTCATTAAGCGTCTGCCTTCGGCTAGGATCATGATCCCAGAGTTCTGGGATCAAGCCCCACGTCAGACTCCCGGCTCCACAGGGAGCCTGCTTCTCCCTCTCCCACTCCCCCTGCTTAGGTTCCCTCTCTCCCTGTGTCTCTGTCAAATAAATAAATAAACACTTTAAAAAAAAAAAAAAAAGACTGATGATTCACAAACCTGTACCCCTGAAGCAAGTAATACATTATATGTTAATAAATTAAAAACAAAAACAAAACAAAAAAAAAAACCCTCTTAGGTAGAATATAGTACAGACTGAAAAACCACTTCCTAGTCAGGAACTCTGCAAACATATTAAAATTCCCTCCTCACATGACACAGAAAATATGGAAATACTAAAATTTTCCTTTGTTACTACACAGATTCCCCTAGAATAAAATGCATTTCAGCCAAACAAAGTATTTGCTTATCCTGGAGCAAAATTAAAATGCCACAAATGCTGACTTTAGAAAAGGAAGAGAGGATCTTTGAAGGCTTTTAAATTAATCTTCAATCCAAACTAATCATATGGTGTTTTAAACTGGGGGGTTGGGGAGGAAAGAAAAGAAAAAGAAAGCACACTGATATCCATGGCTCAATTTCATTACATACATTATCTTCGTTTCACTATATTATACAAACTAAAATGGAGGAAATCAGTGTAGTCTTTCCTCTTAGACTGCAGGTCTGAGCTCAGTAACAAGAGCCATAACACCTCATCTTACAAAAGTATGTTTTTCAATGTTACTACTTTTCAAAACAATAGTTAAGTTTGAAATTCACGGTGGTGAGGCCTTAACACTAAAGCAGTTAAGTATGAAATCAGGGTGAGTCACTAAACCAGGTCACCTCATGTCCCCTCACCATGTTAACTTTGTTTTCTCTTGCTATAAATTCAATTATATGTTACTGTTCTTACAGCAAAAGGGTCTATGAAATTTCGTTCTTGCAAAGATTTCTGATCATACCTCTCACAAATGCCAACAGTCTAGGACAGAGTATCTCAAACGCAGGCCGCACATCGAAATCACCCAGAGAGCCCCATAAAACAAGTATTATATCAGAATCTCTGAGAACTGGGTGGGGCAAAGATGGTTTTTAAAATGCTGCTTGGGGGCGGGGGTGCGCCTAGGTGACTCAGTCGTTAAGCGTCTGCCTTCTGCTTGGGTCTCATCCTGGGACCGAGGCCCACATCGGGCTCCCTGCTCTGCTGGGAAGCCTGCTTCTCCCTCTCCCACTTCCCCTGCTTGTGTTCCCTCTCGCTGTCTATCAGATAAATAAATAAAATCTTTTAAAAAAATAAATAAAATAAAATGCTGCCTAGGGACACCTGGGTGGCTCAGTAGGTTCAGTGTCCTGCTTCAGCTCAGGTCATGATCCCAGTGTCCTCAGATAGAGCCCCAAATGAGACTCCCTGCTCAGCAGAGGGTCTCATTCTTCCTCCGCCTCTCCCTCTGCTTGTGCTCGTGCTTGCTCTCTCACTCAAAATCTTTAAATAAAATAAAAATAAAATGCTGCCTAAATAATTCTATATACTACTGCATAAAAATCTACAAAGTCAGATTTTTAAAACTGATAGAAAAAAAATATTGTAATTTGGTTTACCTTTACATGGACACCATTTTCAAGCCCAGCATTAAAAAAAAAAAAAGAAACAAAGAAAATGTATGCAGACCAGCAAGATCAAGAAATGTTTGTCCCCTCTCAGGCATGGTTAAGTATTTTTTAAGTCTTGCATTTCCATACTAGAGACAGGCTCTGTGGTGGTGGTAACAGCTAACAGAGTTCTTTTCAGATTCAAGAGCTTTCACATCCACTTAAGCCTCACAACAAACTTGTTCAAATAGAGATCTCCATCTTTCAGATACAGATGTTATCACAGCTTTCTTTCAACAAATCCACAATTTATTTATACTCAACACCTACAGTGTACCTTTGTTCCATGGAGGACAAAATTAATCTGGTTATTCCATCTCCTGCTGTCAAACCTTATAGCAGTAGAAAATGGAAATGGAAAAGGAAAATAACTACCAAATTAAATTCTTCCATAAAAATTATCCATTGAAATTATAAAGTAATACCATTTTCTGTCTCAACTTGCAGTCTTTAATCTCCCAGGCCTAGGCAACCACAGCTCTTTTTTTTTTTTTAAGAGAAATTTTTTTTTTAAGATTTTATTTATTTATTTATTTGAAAGAGAGTGAGAGACAGCATGAGAGGGGAGAGGGTTAGAGCCAGAAGCAGACTCCCCACTGAGCAAGGAGCCCAATCCAAGACTCAGTCCTGGGGCTCTGGGATCTATGACCTGAGCAGAAGGCAGATGCTTAAACAACTGAGCCACCCAGGCACCCCATAAATCTATCCTCTGTCTCTATAGATTGGCCTGTTACAAATACTTCACGTAAGTGAAATCATACAATATGTGGTCTCTCGAGTCTGACTTCCTTCAGTCTGACTCTTGAATATATTTTCAAGGTTCATCTACTGTAGTATACTTCAGTATACTTCATTCCTTATCAGTACACTTCATTCCTTTTTATGCCCAAATAATGGATGGATACACCACATTTTGTTTAGTCATTCATCAGTTGATAGACATCTGGGTCATTTTCCACGTTTTGGCTATTATAAATAATGCTGCTATGAACCTCATTTACAATTTTTCTCCAAATACATGTTTTCAATTCTCTTGCATATATACACCTATATACCTACAAGTGGACTTGCTAGAAACTATAGTTATTAATGTAGATGAAATTGCAGGGAAAAAGTCAAGTTTTACATAAGTTTCATAACCATAACTCAATGTCAAAACACAGTTTTTTAAGAAGCAATGTTTTTCTTTCTGTCTTTAATGGAAATATAAAACATATGCACTACTGAATACACATACCACTATTTAAAAAAAAATCATAAAACACTGATGTGCTGCTGGCAAGAGGTAGCATAATTTAATGTTTCTTACTTCCCAAGCTTACATTCTCTCACTTATTAAAAAAAAGTTTTTAAAAATTGACAGAAGTGGGGTGCCTGGGTGGCTCAGTGGGTTAAAGCCTCTGCCTTCGGCTAAGATCATGATCCCAGGGGCCCAGGATCAAGCCCTGCATCGGGCTCTCTGCTTGACGGGGAGCCTGCTTCCTCCCCCCTCTCTCTCTGCCTGCCTCTTCTGTCTACTTGTGATCTCTGTCTGTCAAATAAATAAATAAATAAATAATCTTTTTAAAAAATAAAATAAAATAAAAATTGACAGTAGAAACTCCTTATGTACCAGTAACTGTTATCACAAGCAAAGATTAGGGGTAAAAAAAAAAATAATAATCTGGAGACAGATAGCAACTGTACTTTCAGGCCAGAAAAAAATAAAGGTAAAAAATACTGGTAAAGATAGTTCTCCAAGTTCTGGTTATTAGCTGCTTTTGTTTTTATTCCTTAAAACTGCTGGAGGGGCAGTTGGGTGGCTCAGTTGGTTAAGTGTCTGCCTTCAGCTGAGGCCATGATATCCAAGTCCTGGGAGGGAGCCCTGCATCAGGCTCCCTGCTCAGGCTCCCTACTCAGCCAGGAGTCTGCTTCTCCCTCTCCCTCTGCCCCTCCCCACCACCCCAATCCCAATTCCTACCCCACCCTGGCTGGTACTCCCTCTCTCTCTCAAACAAATAGATAAATTTTTTTTAAAGAAAAAAAAAAAAAAAAACTATTGGAAACAGAATATTAGAAATATACTACTACATTCCAAGAAGTAATTCTCTCAAATAATTTTTAATGGGGCAAAACTGTAAGTTGAGCCTGGGTATGTCTTCCATAAACAATGACATCCAAAATCAATGAAGTCCATAAACGCCAATCTTCTTCATTGCGGAATAAATTGAAATAAAACTTTACTATGACTTATCCTCAAATTTCATATGGCATGATGTTTCTAGTTCTAGATGACTTGTCTACAAAGTGATCAAGGGGTAGCACAAAGCATCTTATGGTGATAACACAGTTTGTTATTTGTTATCACAAATTTACATATGTGATAAAACTGCATGAAACTACATATACACATACCAAATACATGTAAAACTGGTAATATATGAATACAGCCTCTGGGTTGTACAACCTCAATTTCTGGGTTTATAATATTGTACTATATTGATACATATTTTAATTGTAGTAGTATTGTACTATGCTCATATAAAATCCTACTATTAGAGGAAACAGTGAATGATACAAGAGTATCTCTGAAACTTCCTGTGAATTTATACTAATTTTAAAAAGTTAAAAAAAATTACCAAAAACAAAATTCCCAAAAATTTCAGTACTTAAAGAATTGAGATATTTCATGCTCAGAATTAAGCAGAGCATTTAACTATATAAATTCTCTACAATAACAGTTCTCAGATTTGAAGTTTACTTAAATCTGGTAACAGACGGTCTTTTGTACTTTTAAATTAACCTGGAAAATATACTTTTCATTTCAAAACATCTACCATAGTCATGAGGCTTTAGTGAAAACCATGCACAACTTTAAGTAAGGGATAAGTTTAGGCATATCCAGCAAAAGAATGTGGAAGTCTGAATCAAGTGCTGCAAGCCACCAGTGCAACCTCTAGGCCCGGATACCTACATTGTGACTGTGGCAAGAAAACAGAGAAGCTCTCAACCACATTAAAG